CCTTGTTTGCAATTCGATTCATACAAAGGTTGACACGTGTCGCTTAGTCATGGCCACCACCACCACCCCACAATTCTTTTCTCTATTTATATAATCATTTATCGACAAAAAATGTAAAACAAAAATGACTGTTGACTTGATAAGGAAATGAAATGACTGGTGATCTTTGACTCAACCTCGTCAACTACAAGGTTTGCTTCTTAAGCTAACATGAAATCATGACCAAAAAAAAAAAAAGGCTAACATGAAATAAATGTGAAATTATAAACATCAGAATGACAAAGCTACCTAATTTTCTTTTTTGTGCAAAAGCATTGATTCAAAAAGTTCATTAACTTATACAATTTTTGCTTGAATTTTTTTTATTTGGAAATGAGAGAAAATATAGGAAAATCTACCAAACTCAATAACCAACTCCAAAAGACATGTCAATTATTCCAATAGTTTCGATAAAAAAAAGTATCCGAATAGTAAGAGAATTTTACCTACGATACACAAAATAATTAGGTGACCCGAAACGTACTCATTATCTCTTGCATGTGATGTGGACCACTATCGTGGAGTAGCTATAATTATGTAGGAGAAGAAAGTATACCTCGAATAAGGACTAATTTCACTATTATTACACAGTCTCAGTCTCGTGTGTGTTTTTAGTCCAAAATCTTCCGATTCATGAAAATAAAACTATGTATTTTCTACTTATAGAGATGAAGAAAAGGAAAACTAGTTCAAAATTTACCTAACTCACGATTATATAAAAATTCTTGACATAGTAATGTCCATCTCAATTACCAATTTTATCATCACAAGAGATTAACGAGTTTTCCTTCTTAATTGGGAGCATCCAAATCCTAATATACTTATAGATAATGAATTTATAATACATATTTTTTGGGTTAATCTTATTAGCATTTGAGTTTATTCTTATTATTAGCCTCAATGAATATCAACCATTTAACTATTTCATTTTGTCACGTCTACTTTTGATTTCCTGTCTTCATTATGTAATTATTTTGATTTCAGTGAGATTTATAATTGGGCTCACATCAGAATTTCAATTTTATTTACACAATGCAATACAGTGTGCATCTTATTTATTTACCTCAACCAATTTGTTCTCTTATCTTCCTTGTTTTGGTCTTTTTCATCGTTGATGCCTATTGACACATGACAAATGATGAAAGCTCCAATCTGGCGAGTTGTCATGGCTCATAACCTTTAAACCCTTGAAATTTGCAATATTTGAGATCAATTTGGCAAGATGTTTGAATGTATGGTGCAAATTCAGCGACGCATATCTTAAAATAAACGTAGGAGTGTATTTTCCAAACCGAAATTCTCAAACTCGAAAAACCTAACGAAGGTGGTAAACCGAAAGAGGCAGAAAAAGGAGTACTTCCACAGCTTGGATTCCGAGTTATGGCCGACATTGAAAGTTCGAGCCCCACAATCAACAATTTCAGACCCCATAAACTTCACTTTTATAAATTGATCACCGGATACGATACATTCTGAATCGAACCACATCGTTCTTCAATTAGAGTAATTTCAGATGCCCTAGTCATCATTCGACGAATTGGGTCTTAGTAACAATTGCGCACATTTTAGAGATTAATCGAATCAAAAGCGTTTCAGCAGTGACATCACCAGAGAATAGTATTTCCGGTCAATTTCGTTTCTCGCGGTCCGATTTATACAAGGCTTGCACGTGTCGTTTCTCGCAGTTCGATTTTCTTTTCTCCCTTATATATATAAATCAAAACGACGGGTTGACAAAGACCCACTTGCCTTCTTCTTTGCTGTTCCACATGTCTAAATCACCAAAAAAGATAAAGAAAAAAAAAAGAGAAAAGAGAAGAAAATAAAATAATAAAAATAAAAAAGGGGCAATAAAGTCGAGATGACATCGACAAAAAATAAACTAATGGCGCGCGTACGTCGATTGGGCAAAGCGTGACATTAATAATGCCTTGTCGAGTCACTGACACGTTCCCCGTCTCGCACGTGTGGACCCGCTCGTGCTTCGATGTTGGGGCTGCGTGGGCTTGTGGTTGGAGCCTTGGGGGGTGAATCAACATGGTATGCGGTTAGGCGGGACTTCGGGCTAATTCCCAAAAAAAAACATCAACCTATATTTTAAGTGACAATTTCAACTCTGAACCTTTTCTTGTCTTAATAAAAATGCATCAGTTATAAATTGAGTGATAATTTCGGACCAAACTTTTTTTATCTCAATAAAAAGTATCAATTTTTATTTGAGTCCCAAATCTGATCCGCGTTATATGAATTTTTCAAATTGTTCGAGCTATATTTAGAACTTAGGTGAAAGTTAGTGATTTTTTAGGAGACAATAAAAAGTTTGGGCCAAAATTTTCGCTCAATGTAAAGTTAGTATTTTCTTTTTGGAATTAAATTGTCAAACTTTTGAGTAAATTTCAAGTGCGACCCGGTTTTTTTTTTTCTTAATTCTCCTCCTTAATTTATCGATTAATTTCGTAACTCGCGACGGGGGCCTACGATGGACACGTCTTGAACTTATCGACGATAACGTTAGGCGATATGAATTTGTACCTTTCTCTAGGGCCCGGTGCATAAAACGGAACGAAACGAATTATATCAGCCGAACCCCCAAAAATCACACGATCCGAATCCCTCGATCTCGAAGGGGCCGTCGCGCAAATAATCGAACTCCGCGGGGGCGGCCCAATAAAATAAGATGAAGCGCCTGAAACTCCACGATGAAAAACGGGAAGCGGACAAAAAAATGATCGCGACGACGTGGCATCATCATCCGCCGTCAATTCGAGGCGACGTCTTCCCCGATGGCGACAAGAGCTCCGACGCCACCACCGCCGCACACGCGCACACACCGTAGCCGCGCTCCCTCCCCTCGCGGGGCCCCCACCCCCGAACGCAACGGGGCTTAGCTCGTGGGGTGGCCACGTGGCACGTGAGGGCCAATCACGCGGCCCCTCGCGACAGCTGGCGATCCCACGTGTCGTCCGCCGGGGGGCAGGGGGGGGGCCTGACCGTGGGACACGGGCAGCGGTCCCGGGCCCGCGGGACAAGGACCCTTCGGGAAAATGGCGACACCGCGGTCGCGCGTGAGGTGGGGCCCCCTCTCCCCCTCGCCCGCCACCTTTTTTCTTTTTCCCCCTTTTTTTAATTTAATATTTAATATTTAATATTATATTTTATTTTCGAGTTTCGATTGGCTTTTGTTTTTTTCGAGGGGCGACGTGGGCCCCGGTCCTCGTCAGCTCCGAGTCCCGGTTTTTTTTGGTTGCTTGCTTTTTAAATCGCCGTGGGGGGGCCCCCCCGGCATTTGGCCCGGGCGAAAGCGACCGGCCACCGGGGGAAACTCTCGCCTGCACGCCTGCCCACCGTGAACCCGTCGAACCGCAGCCCCTCGATTCGATTTGATTCTATCAAAAACTTCAAAATGGTATACTTGTGATCAAATTTATCCACCGTTAATTTCCGTTAAATTAGATTAATATTACGAAAAATCACAACTCGATACACTTGTGACAAATGGAAGGTAAAACCCCAAACTGGTACACCTGTCAACTCTCGCGTGTCATCAAATTCAGTAATTTGACGATAAAATTTAATGGAAACTAACGGAGGGTAAATTTATCACGAGTGTACCAGTTTGGAGTTTTTGGTGATTAGATAATTAATTTGAGGTAAATTTATCACAAACGTACTGGTTTGGAATTTTTCGTAGTATTAATCCAAATGCGTTTGGTCCCTCACATTTTTTGGATCAACCCCATAATCGGATGCTCGATACCGAACTAGGGTTTCAATTCGCGCGATCACGGCGTATGTCGTATCGATACGGGCTCTCGAAATCGCGGTGGTCGGATGCGACGGGACAGAACCTCTCCGGCGCCTTACAGGGTGATCGTTTCGATGTCTGGGCCGAGCCGGAAAGCTCCGAAAGCATGAGTTAAACCCTAGATCCTAGGATGACGCAACGCGCATTACCGCTAATCATACAATAATTGCTCCCGCTTGCGTGCGTCTAGGTTACATGGATCGATACTAAAGAGAGTGGTTGGAAAAAGGGCCAAAAAAAAAATAAAAAAAAAAAAACAGCGCATCTAACTTTTATTTCATTTATTTTTTTTGGCTAAAAGAGCCAAAGCGCGAGGAGGACCTCACTAAATACCGGACTCTTGGAGGAAAACCTAACCGAGGAGGATCCAAATGCAATGCACTTCCTCAAAACCTTGGGCCAATAAGATTCCACCCCTTGGAATCAGGGGGCACGAAAATTAAAAGAAAAAACCACCCTCATTTTTATTTTGAATTTTATTAATAAGTACATGGAGGCACTTATGAGGTAATTAATTTGACAAAAAAATCTTCAAGTTTTTTTAATACGGATTCTATGTTTTGTGTAATCGATGCTTTGAAGATCGAGTAATTACCGGTTTGATCAAATAAGGAAACATAGAGGCAACGAGTGCTCTGAGACTGAATATTTTATAATTATATATGCTTAATAAGTGCCTCGAGAATTCCATCAAATCCTTTTATTTGGACATACTTTATCGAGCTATTTAGAAAATGGTTAATATCACGAAAAATCTCAAACTGTTACACCTGTGACGAATTCACCTCAAACGGATTTTTTGACCTCTAAAAACCCCAACTCTGTTAAATTTTACAGTCAAATTACTGAATTGGATGATATGTGATAATTGACGGGTAAACTTGTTACCCACCATTTGTCACGGTGTATTAGTTTATGGTTTTTTATGATATTAACCCAAATTTAACGAAGACTAATGAATAGTAAATTTGTTACAAGTGTACTAGTTTGAGATGAATTTGTCAATTGGGATTTTTTCGCGATATTAATCATTAAATAAATAAAACATTGTAAATTTCTTTAACGCAATCCTTTTTCCTAGGCTTTGCGTGGTCCGCGACACAGCGGATCACAACACTCAGCTTCTTCGTCTTCTCTTCACCCTCCTCCTCCTGCTGTCTTTATATATCCGCCCGACCTCCATCGTTACGCTTCCCCCGCCCGCTAGCCACGACCGATCGATCTCCCGACGGCCTCCTCCTCCTTCTCCTTCTCCTCCTCCTGCTCCTTCTTCACGGTTTCTTCAGCCCTTCTGCGTTCCTCCTACGGTCCTGGACCGCCCCTCCTCCGCGGCTTAGCTTCTCGTAGGAGTTTCCTTTGCTTTAATCCGCCGCCGCCGCCGCCGCGCGTTTCGGATAGCGATGGCCGCTTCGCCGAGGGCAGCGATGCTGTACTACGCCGGGTGCGAGGATCGCCACTGCGAGCCCTACTTCCTCCAGTCCTGCTTCCTCTGCAACAAGCCTCTCGGGTTCAACTCCGACATCTTCATGTACAGGTCAGTAGCCAGCCCGTCCGTCCCACCTTTTCTTGTTGGGCATGGATCTTGATTCACGGACATCTTTTTTCTCTCTTGCGAAAGACCAAGGAGAAATCCCTTTTTTTTTTAATCGGGTCGGAATCGGATCGTGATATGCTCCTCTGTTTCTCCCCTTTTTTCAGGGGTGACACGGCGTTCTGCAGCAAAGAGTGCAGGCAAGAGCAGATAGAGATGGACGAGGCGAAGGAGAAGAGCTGGAAGAGGTCGCCATCGTCTTCCTCCTCCTCCTCCTCCTCCTCCTCCTCCACCTCGAGGGCTTCCCGGAAGTCGGAGTCGTCCAAGGGCGGCAAGGCCGTGCGGACCGGTACGGTGACTGTCGCCTGACATCATTCCCGACACCCTGCGAAGATCCCCCCTGGGAAAATTCCTGGGAAATCTTTGTATCTGGAGCCCTTCTTCTTCGATGTGTGTAAAGAGATTGGTGGTGGGGGTGGTGGGTCGGAATCCGATTGATTGGTGAGAAGAAATGGAGCGAGAAGAACAGGGCCGAAAAGAGAGAAAAAAAGGAAGGAAGAACAGAGAGACCTCCCCACCAGGAAAATTTTGTCTTTTTTGTCTTTTTTTTGTTGCCTCCTCTTTTGTTTTTCTTTGCTGATTGTCCATAAGAAAAAAAAGAAAGATGGAGCACCCCTTTTATGAGAATTTCCAATAATTTTTAATTTGTTTTATTTTCGCTATCGCGGAAAAAAACATGGAAATTGGCGTACCCAATTATTTATCGGGTCTTCGACCAAAATCTAATAATTATTGGGTCGTGTTCGTGCTTTTATGGAAATTGGCTTACCTAATTATTGGAGAAGAAAAGAAAAGAAATTGTAATTTTGAGGAGGTTGTGTTTTTAATCTTATGGAATAAAAATATACGGATCTCCTCAATCGATTGATTCAATCTTTGGCAAATTTCTTGGGATCGAATCGACTGATCAAAATTAAATTTGTTAATGTTAATTAGTTTCTTAGCAAAGGTGTTAGGTGCCATCTGTGGCGTTCCTACGATGGTGGCATATCTTGGATCGTGTGGTAATATACGGACTACGCCTTTTTAAGCCCTATTTTCCAAGATTACTTATTGAATTTTGTTAATTTTGCCGTTCATTTTCTTGTTATCATAATAGCGACATTGTTTTTATGTTTCATGTTGATATTTAATCATTGAAAATCATCATGTGTTCCCTGTTTATCGTCTCTCCTTAACCCACTTGTAGGCTTGTAAACCTTCCTCCCGATGGCTAGCTATTTGACCACCATACTTATAATAAAGAATGTACAAAAGATGTTTTCGAATAGCTAATTTTTCACAATCATCGAGCATGTTAGCTCCGTGGTAAAGGGGACCACGGTCTTCACTGAGGCCTACAAGTTGAGTCTTGTTGTGGGCAAACTTCTGGCTAGTTGGTGTCTTGAACATTATCTCCCTTAAGTGAAAAGATTTCTTGATTTCTGATACGAGGGTATGGCTACAGTGACGGATTGAAATACTTATGGGTGCATTGAATAGTTATAATTCAAATCTAACATTTCGAATGAAAGTAACGCTCAAAAAGGTATCTATCTCGGTCACACCTCCCTACCATTTTAAGCCATAAAAAGAACTGATTCTTTTCAAAATAAAAAAAAAGAATTAAAATGAATATATATATATATATATATATTGATGTTGCTTATATAAATCTAAAATTAATGTAAAATTAATGATGTTGCTTAGCATAGTAGAAAGCAAATAGACAAGCTCAATTTCGACCAAAAAAAAATAAAAATAGACAAGATCAACGGCCAAGCGGCCCACTTCACCCAACTTTGATTCAAATGGGTAAGTTTGAGTAATGGCCTTCTACCTAACTTTCAGCTAAGTCTTGGCTAGCCACCCCCAACATTTCATCATATATTTTAAAGTATGTATGGGCCTTGGACAACGCATTGGGCTCAACTTTCGAGGCCAGGATGATTTGGCCTGCATGATGATTGCCTCTAAACTTAAAGTTTTAGATATTAGCATAACATATGATATAAAAGGTACCTTGGAAATAACGGCCAAATTAAGTGTAAGAAAAGTCTTAAATCTATTATATTGGTATCAATTTTATTTTAAATATTTTTTTGATACCAATTTCATCATAAACCTTTTGACATGGTACCAATTCAGTCTATCAACTAATTGGCTAGATATTGCTGACGTGGACGTTGGTCTGACTAAGTGGTATCACCAGCGCTGATGTGGATAATATTTTACTATTTTTTCTGATTTTTTTCTTTTCTTTTTTCCTTTCTTCATGCTTTTGTTGCTGATTGACTATAGGCGATGGCCGAGCGGGCTAGCCTTGCTTAGGCGAGGGTTGCCGTTGACCGGCTAGGCAAGGGCAAGGCCTGGCCAGGCAAGGCCCGGCTAGGGTCGGCCTCACCTGGCTAGTCAACAGTGACCCACGCCCAGGCGAGGCCAACCCGCTTGGCCAGTGCCTGTGCTCGATCACCAGAAAAAGCAATAAGAAATAAAAAAAAGAAAAGAAAAGAAAAAAAATCAGAAAAAATAATAAAAAATCGAAAAAATATTATTAAAAATTATTCACGTTAGCAACGGCAGTGCCATATAAGCCAGCCGATGTCCACATTAGCAATATCCGACCAAAATTAGTGGAAGGGAGTGAATTGGCACTATATGAAAATGTTTATGACTAAATTGACATCAAAAAAAGGTTTAACAATAAATTGGTACCAATGCAATAGATTTTGGGACTTTTTTTTATGCTTTTCCCCTAAAAAAGTATCAACTTCAAGGTCATGTGCCAATTTTGATCCGAATTTTTTTGTCCTAATTAAAAAATAATAGCCCGATTGCATATGTTTAATTTAATTCAAAAAGAACTTTCATATTCCCTATTTATATTTGTATTGACAAAAATCTCATAATAATATTTTTGTAGGAAGCTCTCTTCTTATTGTTTAAAAGATCTGTTTGTTTTGTACATTGGGATCGAATATGTGTGTAAGATAGAAATAAAGAGAGTTGCATTCGATATTTTACTAATACAATAAATCTAATTTTAAAATATATAATTGCATTACTAGGTGCTTCAATAATATAATATTCTACAGGAAAAATAAAACGAGTCATAAAAATTTCATTACTCTATAATATCAATAGAATTAAAAATGTATCATGCAGGTACAACATAGTTTTTGAGTACAATCATTTTATCATTAAAGAAGACTGACATAGGCATATAATAGGAGTACGCCAAAAGAATACATAACTTTCCATGGAAATATATATTGATTAAAGCTTCGACATTGCTCAAATGACAAAAATCAATACAAGCTTAAAGTTAAGATTAGATTTTAAAAAATTGAATCAAAAAGCGTTAAAGGTGTTTCCAATCTTCTTTAACATGTACCTTTATCTTTTGTATAGATGCAATAACGATGAGATACAATGTTCGAAATCAATTTATGACTTTTCGGGCTATATATTGTTCTTTTGTAATTATACACTATTGCGTTTCAAAGTTAATTAATATAGCTACGCCTTCTTGTTAAGGGCAATAATTTCTTTTGAGTAAAACGGTATATCCATTTATATAAGAGTTACATATTTTATTGAAAAAAACAGTTGTTAAATATGGACAACATAATTTCTACGTGCAACGCTCGTATTTACCTAATAGTTAATTATATAGACAAAATTATTTCTCTGCATCTGGCTATTTACTTCCTCAGACAATGGTAATACTCTCATTCATCGGCATATCATACTACATGTATGCTAGATAAATGAGTTTAACTCTTGTTGGAGATCTTTCCGATCAATGGTAAGTGCAACTACTTTAATTTATAATAAGAAAGAGATCTGAGCCTTATATAACGAACTATAACTTTCAATAGTAAATAGAGGTTTATCTACGCACTTTAATGTTTTATTAAAAACATGTAATAGATACTTTTGATATTGCGAAATTTCCATTGATGTTTCCATCAATCAAAATCATCGACAATCTAATGGTTTAGATTTTAAATTTCTCAAATAGTTAAGTAATCATTGAGGGGATGTATATGGTCGCGCTCCCGGAGAAAATGAATTCTAACAAACCTTGCCGTTGATAATATTTCTTAGTATGGGAACATGTTAAATGCAAATTGTGCGAGTGTATCAGCACCACTAATGAGCATGACAAAGTATTTACCTATTTATAGAGCCGTTCATCTCTTGCTCCACCAGGCCTTAGCCGACTGAATTTCTTCTTTCTTATTAGTCTTTCAAGTGCTTCAAAGCAAGACCTTTGTGATGCCTCATCTTTGAAATCCTCTTTTGACATGCATCCAACAATCATGTCTCACATTCTCCAGCTTTACATGTATATAATTATCGGATTAGTGATTTACCTGAAAAATGACTCATCCTTAGTAAGATCTCTCTCTCTCTCTCTCTCTCTCTCTCTCTCTCTCTCTCTCATGCACACACAAATGATGATTATAACATCACAGATATCTTTTTTTGAATAACAGGACGAGGAATTGAGATGGCGAGGGGACGAAAGAGAACTCTTGTAGAAGTGAAGTCTTTGTCAAGGCGCTACTTTGTTGCTGGACAATACCTTAGAGTCCAATCCAGTCCAATGGAGTCGCTACACCCGCCATACTCCATGACCAATGCACGTGAAGCCTCTTATCGAGAAGATGACTAGAGTTTTGCCTAGATTTCCATGCTATTGTTTGCATGGAATTCCTTGTCTTATAAAAGCGAAGAGAGCTGCCGGAACCCCTCTTCAGAAAATCATAGAGTGAGGGAACATGGGAACAAGTTAGATGGTAGATAGATTTGACGTTTCATGTATTTGATATAAAATTCTACGAGAGCCGGTCATTTTAAATGGTGTGTGAGCGAGAGCTTTCCTTGATATTATGCAAAAAGTTAATCTTCGCATACATAAGCAATGATGGTTCCAATTACAGTGCCGTCAATGATATACAACTCTATTTTCAACTCTAATGAAGTAATTTACAAAATTGTAACATGATGATGCTTTTATACAGCTTATTTTAATTTAAGAATATCTAAATTGAGATGATGGCAAATTTTCTCTTAATTCGACAACCAACCAAAATTTTGTAATTTTGACAAAAAAAATCAAAATTTTGCAATGATGCGGTCATAATGTACATTATATTTCGGTTGTTTAAATATGGACTTTTAAATGTTCAGCATCAAAAAGATAGGATGAACATTAGGGTTTATTTGTGTAGTTTTCCATTTTGATTTCGAACTTTTGGCTCTACAATAGTTATTTTGGTCCTTCAAATTCAACCTCATATAAGAAAATAGAGATAAGTGCATTGAAAGTTCTAAAACTTATCACAATAGTGCAATTGAGTCCTAGAACTTGCAAAAAATCAATCAAGTCCTAAAATTTGTTAATTTGGTACAATCGAGTTTTTCTGTTAACTCCGTCCAATTAGACTATCGAAAAATGTCGACGTTGCTTTTTTTTTTTCTCTCTCCTACGTGGCTTTGTTTAATATTTTCTATGTCTTATGTGACATTGACCATAATAAAACATGAAATATAAGACTAACACGACGTCGTTTTCGCCTAAATTCTAATTTTTTTTAAAATAAAAAAGGAGGGCTAGGGCGGTAGGCGCTCACTGCCGTCGCCGCCCCGCCCCACT